TATTGCTAATTGCAGGAGGAGGAGAATTTTGAGTCTTTTATGTGGTATGGGTGCTATTGAATTGTGATTGTAGCTCATTCTATCTGGATTTTTTAAGAATTATTATGTTTAAGATTAATTTGGCTTGTTGCAAAGAATCGCGGAGAAACATGAGAAAAATTTTAGTTTAATTGAGAAAAATTGACCAGCACAATGCTGCAATATTTGCGTAGAATAGCCAAAATGATGATTTAAGCATTTGAGTTAAAAAATACATTTCATATCTAACTATTTAGGAAAAAGAAATTAATTTGGTAAAATACTTTGGGTCTAAGAGGGAGTTATTGGTTGAGGATTGTTGCTTCAGACTTGGACTTTTTATTTGATTTTAATTTAAGGTGTTATTTATTTTGGACTAGAATTTGGATTTAAATTTAAAGTGTTATTCATTTTGGATTAGCATTTGGATTTAACTTTAAAGTGTTATTGGTTTAGGACTAGGATTCGAATTTGAATTTAATGTAATATTAGTTTAGAACTAGGATTTGGACTTAAATTTAATGTGTTATTTGCTTAGGACTAGGATTTGAATTTAAATATAAGGTGTTATTGATTGTCTAAAATTGTTACTAGGACTATGATTTCAAAAGCCACACTCCATTCTAACTCTATAGTTTTTAATGAGAAATTTTTAAGAGAAAAATCCAAGTTAAAGTTGATGGAAATTTGCTGGATTGTGATCTTATACTGTGAATTCTCTCTCTCTCTCTCTCTCTCTCTCTCTCTCTCTCTCTCTCTCTCTCTCCTCTTCTTTTTATTTATTTAAATATTTAATATATTTTAAATAAATACATTTAATTTTAAAATATTCCATATTTCTAATTTATTAATATATTAACATTGAATTTATTTAAAATATTTTTAATCAACTTCTATAAACTCATTCCATTCATTTAAAATGAAATATATTCAATAATCACTTAGTATACTTAATATTTAATATTAAATTAGATATGTTTCTTACTTATCATTTCTTAAATATTTAAATAATTTCAATATTTAATATTATATTACATACATTTCTTTTGAGCTATTTAAGCGGATTGTAAGATGTATTCAGTTTTGTTATTGTCATCCGTTAATTGAAATGAGGGTGATTTTTCAAATTAGTGTTTACTTTTTAATTAATTAAGCATAACAATTTAATTTGAAACTCCTAACACGAATAATCCACAAATCTACTCTAAAATTTAGTATGAGAATCTAACCCTCAGTTTATGAATCCAAAGCAAAAGTTTAAGAATCTAAACCAAAAGCTCAAGAATTCTACTCACAAAAATCAAATCCAATCCAAGAATCTTGGGCCCTAACTATAAAATCTAGGGGAAAATGCTTCCAGCCCCCAAAACCCAAGAAAACGTGCTCCCCTCCAATTCCCCCTCCCCCAAGACTTTGTCAACGGGTGCTTTGCCCCCAAAAATAAATATCTTGTTCTCTGAGCCCCCAAAACACAAAACCCAAGAGATTAAAATATGTGAAGACCATAATACCCTTCTCTCTCTCTCTCTCTCTCTCTCTCTTTATCATGATAGTACTGATAGTTGAAATGATTGATGATCATTGTTATTTTATTATTTTTGTTTTTTATTATTTTCATTGTTGATGAGAGGAACTAATTGTTTTTGTTTGTATTGAGAGATTGTTAAGGTTACGAGTTTAATTGTTAAGGTTACGGATTTAATTGTTAAGGTTACGTGTCAATTGTTAATGTTATGGATCCCTTCTCTCTCTCTCTCTCTCTCTCTCTCTCTCTCTCTCTTTTATTATGATGTTACTGTGATGATAGTTGAAATGATTGATGGGCATTGTTATTTTATTATTTTTATTTTTTATTATTTTTGTATTTTTAGAATATTCGTTGTTAAGAATAATAGTTGGTTATAAATGTTATGCATTGGTTGTGAATGTTACGGGATGGTTGTTAAGGTTACGTGTTGGTTGTTAAGGATATGGGTTTGTTGTGTATGTTACGGTTTTGTTGTTAAGGATATGCGTTGGTTGTGAATGTTACGCTTTGGTTGTGAAGTTAAGCTCACAACAAACCCGTAACCATAATAATTAAACTCGTAAACTTAACAATTAAACCCGTAAGCTTAACAATTAACCCGTAACCTACACAACAAACCCATAATCTTAACAACCAACCCGTAACCTTAACAACCAATGCATAACCTTTACACCAACCATTATCCTTAATAATTAACAATTAAACCCTTAGTATTAACAATTAAACCCGTAACCTTAACTATTAACCCGTAACCTACACAACAAACTCATAACCTTAACAACCAACCCGTGACCTTAACAACCAACCCATAACCTTCACAACTAATGCATAACCTTTACAACCAACCATTATCCTTAACAATTAACAATTAAACCCGTAACCTTAACAATTAAACCCGTAACCTTAATAATTAACCTGTAACCTACACAACAAACTCATAACCTTAACAACCAACCTGTAACATTCACAACTAATTCATAACCTTTACAACCAACCATTATCCTTAACAAACCCATAACCTTAACAATTAAACCCGTAACCTTAACAATTAACCCGTAACCTACACAACAAAACCATAACCTTAACAACCAACCCGTAACCTTAACAACCAACCCGTAACCTTAACAACCAACCCATAACCTTCACAACCAAGGCATAACCTTTACAACCAACCATTATCCTTAACAACGAATATTCTAAAAATATGAAAATAATAAAAAACAAAAATAATAAAATAACAATGGCCATCAATCATTTTAAATATCATCACAGTAACATCATGATGAGAGAGAGAGAGAGAAGAGATCCGTAACTTTAACAATTAAACCCGTAACCTTAACAATCAAACCCGTAACCTTAACAATCTCCCAATACAAACAAAACAGTTAGTTTCTCTCATCAACAATGAAAATAATAAAAAACAAAAATAATAAAATAACAATGCCCATCAATCATTTCAACTAACAGTAACATCATGATAGAGAGAGAGAGAGAGAGAGAGAGAGAGAGAGAGAGAGAGAGAGAGAGAGAAGAGTATTATGGTTTCCCCTAAATCTAAGTTCAAGTCTCAATTCAAGAATGTCGGATTCATGGACACTTGTCCAAGTCCAAATCAACAATCCAGAACAAATAACACCCGCTAAGTAATTTTGAAAGTTGGTGGATTTAAAAGTTAATGGGGTTAGAATTTTAGAACTTTGAGTTTATAAGCAAAAAACTCTTTTCAGAAATAGGTGAGTTTAAAGATAAATAGGTGGTAAAACTTTCAATTTATAAAAAATAAATGGATCTACATCTCATAATGTTGTGTTATCATTGTGAAGAAAGTCAAAAGAGTAAACGGTTTGAGCATTTGATTTTAACATTACACCATACTCCTAAACACTCAAAAAATTATAAATCATGATGTTGTGAAGAAAGTCAAAAGAGTTAATGGTTTGAGCATTTGATTAATTAACATTACACCATACTCCTAAACACTCAGAAAATTATAAAAAGTTACAACATAAAATAGCAAGTTTCAGTGTATACAAAAAGGCTGAAATATAAAAGTATATTTTAAAATTAAAAAATTGCAGTAATTTGGATCGACCTGGAATTAGCTTCTGTTGCCGGACAACTCATGATGACAACGCAATCACTAATGCTGTGGATATTTACAACAGTTCCAGGTACACGATGTTTATCCCACTAAGATTTTTAGTGTTCTAAAATATTGCACGTGCTAATTCGGATTGTTATCAATCCAGCGGGGCTCTTCATTTCATGGCATCGAATAATGTTTGTGGTGTCAGAGACTTTGATGTGGAAAAGTTTCAGGTATCTAAGCATTAATTTTCGGTACCCGTGGCCAGGGAAATGAAGAGAATTGCAAAGATTATATGATGTGTGTGCAGCTTGTAGTTACACAGTTTGTAGTTACAAAGGGATACTAATGTTAATTATTAAAAACTGCTGGTGAATAACTTATGAATTCTGAAAATATATATTGAAAGAGGACGAAGAGAATTGCAATGGTATATATGCCTGCTGCTATTCCTTCAGTTGCCGAGTGTACACAACTCAAACCTGTTTGGATGGGATGAGCTTCTCAGTAGACAGGATGGCCTTGAGTAAAATGCTAGGAAAGAACAGTTGCCGTCGCATGGAGTAATGAATAAAATTGTAATTACACACGCCCCCTGTGAATAAAATTAAATTCATAACAATTGCTGCAACTGGGGTTATTCAAGCCAACTCCAACCTTAAACCACACCTTGCTCAGTTGGTTGAAACATGCGACTAACGAGTATCTCCTTATTTTCTGTTCCTACCTACGTTAATGTGCTTTTATACAGCATCTACATCATCGCCAACAACAGCAATTGTAGCAGAAACAATCCATCTACCTTATATAACACATTCATAACACAATAGAAGGAAGAGAGAAAAAAATTATAAAAGAAAACGACAATGAATAAGCTTTTTATTCGATCACTTTTCTCTGTTCAGCTCTCCTAGGCAACTTCTAATTAGTTAAGACTATACTTGGTATATGTCCTCATCATATGAAATGTCATTAAGTAGTTGCCGTCATGTTCGCGTGAACATGGAACAAAACAGGGGTACACATGGACACATGGGGCAGGGTAATTCCTCTAGAAGCAAGACACAGGAACACAAGAACACTTTGTCACATATCAACGTTACTACTGTAGTAGTAGTAGTGCTACCACCACATGAATAGATACAATGATACACATGTTCATGCACCCAAGATCTTAAACAATTGTTTGTAGTAATACAAAACATATAATGATCGTGTTTGTATATTAAAGTTTACATCTACCTTACATTTTATATGACCTTGCAAAAATAAGACATTGGCTCTTGAAGTTTATATAGAATAGCTAAACACGTCTAAGCTTATAGTAGTTTTATACAAGTCATCTTCTTGATAGTATTTTCCACTATAGGCTCTAGCATATAAATGAAACACTGAAAGTAACTAAAAATCTCAAAACATGTAATGCGAGTAACAACGTTGATGAAAATGTGGTAAATGTCCAAGGAGTGTATGAGGGCTCTACATTAAAACATCTATTATATAGTTTAAGACACATTTGAGCGTGTGACGCATCTCTAATGCTAAAATAAGAGGCCATGTGTGGAACGGATACAACATCATAATATAAGCAGCTGCGGTGCACGGATGCTATGATATGTGTAATTCTTATTTCAGTGTTCTCCTTTCATATCAAATATTCATAAATATGTTGTCAAATATTCATAAATATGTTGTATTGGAGTATGAATCAGTTCATGACTAAAAATATTATTATTTCTGCTCTCTTCGTCCGGCTTAACCTGATTCACCATTGGTCTTTACTATGCTGGAAGCCTGGGAAGAGGACTGGGTTGGCTTCTGTGTGATGTGAATGTGTGATTTTTGGATGGGCATCGACCGGAATGTTGCAATGTTTGTATTGGACTTTATTTGGTTCCTGACCCATCTCCTAATCATTTGCAATCCTTGTCATGACATATGAACCAGATTTTGTTGTAAAAGTTCACCAAAATCTAGTATGTATTCTGAGCATTCAGTAGGGAACACTAGGATGAAATTTGTATTTTTTTTCTCATATCTGATCTGTTGACTCCTCTTTATGTTCATTACAGCACTCATCCTGAGGGAATCCTGGTTGATGCTCATACTGGAAAGGTAATACCTGCAAAACAAACTTACCTCCAAAATAATAATAAGGAAAAAAGAAAAAAAATGCACTTACACTTACTCTTACTAAAGAACATCCAAGACTTGCATGGCCATATGGACTCCTTTGCATCGGCATGGAGCCCTGATGGCTGTACATTTGCAACGGGTAACCAAGACAAGACATGCAGAGTCTGGGACATCCCTAACCTCTCGAAATCTCTGATAGTCTTAAGATCTGTTTTCTCAGAAAGAACTAAGATCTTTGCTCGAGTTTTACAAGTAATCGTTCATAAACCCACATCTTCTTTGTTATCAGATCCTCAAATTTCCAATTCAATTTCTCGTTTGATTTTATTAGAAAAAATGATGTGTTCTAAGCCCCTTTTGGCTAACAAGCACTCGAGTTATACTGCTAGAGGAAAAGCGAAGGCTTGAAGAAGCTCAATACACAGAAGAACCAATATTAGCACTGAAACAGACAAGTAGTAAATAAGAATAAGTTTCTTTGGTCACATAGCAACACTAACTAAAAGTTTTAACACTTGAATTGAAGAATTTAGGCAAACAATTGATCATAACATTATTGCTGGAAGTAGTGCATTCTCTAACGTAGGAGACTTGGTTCATCCTCATGCATCAACCGATTGAGCTCCACTGCAGATGAGGTGATGAAACAGCCTATTGAAAAATTTGTATGAATGGTTGGTTTGCAATTGTATAGAATTTAGGAGACTACTCATCTCCTATATATTTGTTCAGTGATCTCCCTATTTTTCCTAATTCAGCCTTTGGGCAAAACATTAGTCGTGATCTTGGATAGAATATTCTTTTGTAGCTCTCAAAAATTAGTCAAGTAACAAAACTTTATGTTTCTATGTATCTATTTTTTTTGCCTTGATAACATTTATTGGTTTAAAGATGCAAGACATTTTCATCTCCTAACAATGTCAGCCAAAATGGGTAGAGAAGGAATTTGAGAGAATGTGACGGAACGGCGAGGAGGAATTTGAGAGAAGGCAACGGAACGGCAAGGGCAACGACGGGACGGCGAGGAGAACCTTGGAGAAGGCGACGTGATTTGGGCTTTGAACAGAGGAGGAGAACGGGGGAAGAGAGGTGAGGGGATTTATGTGTGGAGGCGGAAATTTTTAAGGTAGGGGCCGGCTAGGGTTGGGGCTGTCTAGGGTTTTATTAATTAATTTTTTTAAATGACCCATACATCCTAGACGAAAATTTCTGTCGAGGTTACGTCCTAGACGGAAATTACGTCCTAGACGAAAATTTTACGTCCTAGACGAAAATTTCTGTCCTAGACGAAAATTTCCATCTAGGATACTTGGTACATTTAAAAATAAAATAAAATAAAACCGTCTACTTTACTATTGTAGACGAAAATTTTCGTTTACGATGTTACATTCTAGAGGGAAAATTTTCCATCTAGTTTAATAGCAAGCTAGAAAGAAAAATTTTCGTCTAGGATACAAGTTTTTCTACTAGTGTGTATAGAATTTAAGAGACTACTCATCTCTTATATATATGTTCAGTGATCTCCCTATTTTTCCTAATTCAGCCTTTGGGCAAAACATTAGTTTTGATCTTGGATAGAATATTCTTTTGTAGCTCTCAAAAATTAGTCAAGTAACAAAACCTTATGTTTATATGTATCTTTTTTTTTGTCTTGATGATAACATTTATTGGTTTAAATATGCAAGTCATTTTGATCTCCTAACAATGTCAGCCAAAATAGGATGAGACATATTGACATATATAATCAGGTGCATATGTAATAATGGAGATAGCGTTCCATATTATATTCATTGTCAAAATTCTTCACTATATTATGCTATAATACAGTGAGGGAACTTCCAGAAAATAAGACTGGCTACCTTATACGCTTAAGGATATGACCAGAAAAAATAAAATGCACTTCTTGAAAACTTCGTACCTAAACTAAGAGCACTTCTAGAGACTACAGAGTGTAAATTCACGTTTATAACTCAGTATCAAAACAGAAGAGGATTACTTTTCCACATCAGAATGACAACAGTCTGGACTTCCTGCTCTGAACTTTAATGTTTCAAGCTAACCCGGCCACTGTTATACATTTCAGGATTGTTCTCGACAAAAACATCCTTGTAAATTTTGCGCTCTTCTTCACGCTGCTCCAATAATACCTCAGCCCAGTGCTTCATATCTTCATATATTCTCTGTAATTCTGTGGTGGGGTCCTCCCTTATCGAATCCATGATTTTGGTGACACAACAATTGTAAAAGTTTAACAAACAACGTAAGTTGAAACCTGTTCAACAAGGAAAAGAAATACACAGTTGAGATTCACATGTAATCAAAGACCAAAAGGTATACTCATTTGGTATTAGTAATTCAATACTAGTCATACTTACGATTAAAGTTTGTTGTTGATTCCAGCTTTATCAGCTTGATAAAGTTTTGACCATCAGGATTCTTTTCTATTTCCCCATCCAGTTTTCTAGTAGTTGCTTTTACTCTCTCCACCAGCATATCAAGCTCAAACCTGAACTTCGAATGAAGTTCAATAAATGGATTAACACACATATGCCCAACACAGAAGTAGGGAAATATTTCAATAGTTAAGAGGAGATACATGCATGTCATCTTCGCAGTCAAATAATGTTTGCTCATATTCGTTTATCTTCCAAATAGTATTTCTGTTGCATTTAACGGCTAAATAACAAGAAGCATTCAGTTCGTTCAGCTCTGGTGAGTTGCTAGAATGACGTGATGTGGGCTGCCATTATAGAGAACAAACAGATAGCCCAGACTAGACAGTAGCAAATACAATTAAACAAGAAATTCGAAAAATCACCTCACGCAGAAGCTTGTAACTCGGGGTTTCTTTGTTCGATGAGGAACTGTACTTTCAAGAAGTGTCATCAATTGGAGTGGAGGCTGAGTGCTTAATGCTAATTCGTTCTCCGAGTGTACTTTACTTTTATATAGGCCAGTCATGCTGAATTCGTTAATTTCAGCTTGAGAGTCCTGGTTTTCTTGCGTTATGTTTTGTTCAGGTTTGCAATCCTCATTTTGATGCATCTACCGACAAAAGAATATTGTTAGGTTGCAATCAATAATTATAATGTTGCAAAAATAACTTAATAACAATACCTAATTTCATAAAATAATTAGTATCACATGTTACACTTCAACCCCTGACATTCCATCTAGTATGTAACACACCCTTTGAACAAATTTTAATGATAATAGTGTGTTAAAAGAATATCATAGAAACAAAACGAGATCCAAAACAACGCAGTGCAAGAACATTATCATAGAAACTCATATCACCACTACCAACTTACAGAGGAATCAGAATTTGATAAAGGATAGGTCATAGTCTAAAGATAGCGATATAGCCTGATTAATAAATATTAAAAGCATCTTCTTAAAGGAATTACTATGTCAACGTTTTCATCTTGTAACACATCCACCGCGCATGTCTTAATACTATAGTGTTGTTCGTCGCAGTTTAAACAGAATTCTTTTAGAACCTTATGCCATATAAACTCATATTTTCTAGTGCCAAACTTAGTAAAATTTAGGATATCAAATCAACTTTCACTAGTTTTCAAACTGCAGATCGTTGGTATCAACTAACATCCACTGCATATGTTTTAATACTATAGTGTTGTTCGTCACAGTTAAACAAGATTTTATTAGAACCTTATACCATATAGACTCATTGCTAGTGCTAAACTTAGCAAAACTCAGGATATCATATCAACTTTCACTAGTTTTCAAACTGCAGATCGTTGGTATCTTTTGACATCCACGCAATATCGAGTACATTGAAGCAGAAGTCAAACAAATATATGATGCCATACATAATTGTCTAATAATTGCTCTAAGCAACTGTATCCATGTTCATTAAAATCATAAAGGTAAGTACCTAGCCTATAATGAAATCTTGATTGTTTTACAAATGAGAGAAGTGCTAATCTTAAATCGAAGTGCGTAAACTATAATTTGGAGAAGATATCAGAACCTTTGGACATATAGGGTTTATTGCATAACAAAAGAATCTACCATCAAACTTGCACAAATAAACCACAGATTCTATGATCTGCGTTTAGGTCGCATGACAGTGATTAGGCAATGGAAATATATGAGTAATAAAGCTCGGAGAAAAGACTTGCATTTTACCATTTTCAGGACACGATTGAAAACTTCTCCCAAATCATCGGGCATCCTACTTTTTCTCTTGGTATCGAGCATCAAGTTGTAAAAACCTATCACCATAATCTCCTCTCCATCAAATAATTCATCTGCAAGGTTATCGATAGCGGATAGCATCGCGTAGCGGTGAGGCATCGCTAAGGCTATTTCGGGCTATTGCGGTAAAATAGCGGTAAAAAAACGCAAAGTCAAATAGCGGTCTAATTTAGATATGTATAAATACTAAAAAAGAAAAATTAAAAAAAAAAATCTAAGAAATCTAAAAGTACATATTGGATGAGTTAAAGAGATCCTAAACATGAAATAGACATGTAACCATCACGTAATACTGAAGATGACTAGGAGTCAAAAAGTCGTCGTCTTCAAGAAAAAAAGCTTAGCGGTGACAGGACTGCCCTAAGAGGAGCTCACGATGAAGGAGGTGAGAGGAAGTATCAAGATAGGTACCAGAGGCTATGAGAGGTGACGGGAGTATGCTGAAAATCACAGGAGACGGTGGAATGCAATGGTCAATGGTTGAGTTTAATTTTTTAAAAATAAGCCTCAAACCGCTTTTAAATAGCAGTCAAAAAGCAAATTTTGAATGCAACCGCTCACTATTTACCGTTATGACACACTATTGGCCGCTTTTGCGAACAGACATATTCCACAATATGTCACCGCTATTGCGCGATAGCGTAGCGGGCAATAGCGTCGCCGGAAGGAACCGCTAACGCTATTAGCGCTGCTATTGCGGGGCTATTTACCGCTATTTATAACAGTGTTCATCTGTTATTCGAATAATCTCATCTCCATCAACTCTGAAATCAATCGAACATAATCAGCCCAACGAACATAAAAGAATTTTTTTTAAAAACGCATAAAAAGATAGTGAAAAGAAGGTAACTTAAGATTAACTAACATTTTGTCAACATCCTTAAAATCCATAAAAATTTGTAAGAACTCATTGAATCTTGCCCTCTCACGCTCGAATCGATCCCCCATCGCAACCAGAAATTAAAGCGTCCCCTTAAAAGCCATCACAAAATTCCCTAAGACAACAACGAAAGCCTAACCCTAAATTTTTTGGAAGAGAAAGAGAGATCAGAAGAAAAAGAAAACGATTTTGTTTATGAGAGAGGGGGCGGCAAGAGAAGGGGTATACATAGGCGCACTTTTCCTTCTCGTTGTAGGATTCGAACTAACTGATCCTACAACGAGAAGGAAAAGCGCGACTATATATACCCCCTCCTCCTGCCTCCCCCTCTTTCATAAACAAAATCCTTTTCTTTTTCTTTTGATCTGTCTTTCTCTTCCAAAAAACTTAGGGTTAGGCTTTCGTTGTTGTCTTAGGGAATTCTGCGATGGCTTTTAAGGGGAAGCTTCAATTTCTGGTTGCGATGGGGGATCGATTCGAGCGTGAGAGGGCAAGATACAATGATTTCTTACAAAATTTCATGGATTTTAAGGATGTTGACAAAATGTTA